TGATTGTTTCTACCAAGTAGCACAGAAAAAGCCTCTGTGGCTGAGAGGCTATGGTTCTGAAGTGAAAACATGGAGGAAGATAACTCCCTTGGGAGCCTCCCCAACTACCATGGAAATGTTATGGTGAACTCTGTGCGGCAAAAGATGCTGTAACGTCCTCTGATTTACCTTGAGGACACGTGTGTATGAGAGGCTGTATCTGCTTCGCTGTATGGGGGCGGGTTCCCCCTGTTTTTGCAATCCCTGAGCAGACTGCCTGTGATTCAGATTAGAATCCGGTTTAATGTCTCATCAGGAAAAAAAACTGTGTTCTTTCTCTGCCGTTCTTGTGGAGAGGTTTTCTGGATTGAGAGACGATTTGGGTTTTGGTTTTTTTTAATTATACTTCCCCAACATCAGCTTCTCCTACCTCTCACTATAAGGAAGGGATCTGGGGAGAAATTTTGGGAATTTGGGGAAGGAGAATTTTTTTTGGACTCACTGTGACTCCTTTCCTCACTCCCTCCCCCCAATTTACCGTAAAGGAAGCCTGACACGAAAACAATTCTAATATTCTATTGAAAAGTGCATTCTTGTGCTTCTCCCTAAAACACTAATAAGAGATTAGAAAACCATTGAGTCGGTGTGTTATTTCTCATTTTTTCGTTTCCCAATCGGAAAACCATTTAAGAAATATTTATTGTGCACCTGCTATGTACCTAGAAGTACAGTTTGTCTTCAGGATCCTCCCAAGGAACTCTGTGAATCGTCCTACCTACTCCTAAGGTGTGTGCTACTTCCAAGTCTTTAGCCGCAATTTGCTAACTGCAGTTGTCAGAGACATGATTTTTTCTATCTACGTATCTTTCTCCCACAGACTAAGACCCTTTTTCTTAAACGGTGACACTATTCCTCGAGCAATTCCCTGAAGCCGGCTTCAGGGCCAGTGTTGCAGCTTCCTCGCAGAGAGCTCCCTTTGCTCCGAGTTGTGAGGAAAGCAGGTGAATGCCCGCGATCTTCAAGTCAAGGTGCTGGATTCGTTTGTCGTCAGAACCAGCTGGTCCTTTCCCGGTGACAACCTTCACGCTATCGCAAAGACTGCACCCACAGGGCTTGGGCTCCAGGGGACAGCAAGCAAACCAACACACTAGCTGAAGCCCGTGGAGTCACAGAAGATTAAGGACGGAAAAGTATATTATATATAGGCAGCTTTCCAGGTCTACAAATATTTGCATAAAGAGTTAGCACGTCATTCCATGAGCAAGGGGGAGCCACTGAAAAAGCACAATGAAGTTCTCAAAGCACAAGCACCAGAAGCATAAGTGAAAAAAATTTTAATTAAAAAAAGAGTTTTCTCTGGAAAACTGGAGGTGAATTTTCTGAAGGGAAGACCCACTCAGAGGTTCCTACCTATCAGATCATATCATCTGAGTTGGAGATCATCAGCAAGATGGAAGAGTAAGAGGTCACAGTCCTCACCAACCCCTCCCCCCCCCGAAAACAGTGACTAAACAAGCAGTTATGGAAGCAAGTAGCTCTGGTAAAGATCCAGAGTAAATTCAGAGGCTCCCACAGCCCCATGGAGGACAGAGAACCGAGGATGGCCACATCGAAAAGTAGAGTTGACCCTTCAACAACACGGGGTGTTAGGGGCACCAACTCCTGAGCTGTCAAAACTCCATGAATAACTTCTGACTCCACCCCGACTTACTTATGAATAGCCTACGGTTAGCCAAAAGTCTTACCAATCACATAAACAGTTGATTAACACCTCGTTCGATGAGTTATATGCTGTATTCTTACAATGAAGTACGCTGGGAAAAAAAGTGTTGAGAAAATCATAAAGAGGAGAAAACACACTCACAGTACTGTATTTATAAACAAAGCAAAACAAAACTCTGCATATCCGTGGGTCTGAGCAGTTCAAACCCGTGTTGTCTGAGGGTCAGCTGTACTGGTGTGTTTCACCCACATCACTCTTCCTCATGCTGGCACCCACAGCACCAAGGGGTCCCCTGGAAACACCTGGCACAGCTTTTCCCTGAAGAGGGGGAGGAGCAGAGACTCCAGCAGCCTGCACACCAAGGACCCCGGCAGCCCTTCCCTGCTGCAGACACAAAGGGGTTAAAGGGCTCACACCCAAACCATACAAGGAACTCATACTACTCAATAGCAAAGACATAACAACTAAAAATGGTCAAAGGACTTATATAGACATCTCTCCAAAGACGTCCAGGCGGCCAAAAGAGACACGACAGGTGCTCAGCACCACTACATCATCAGGGAAACACAAATCAAAGCTACATAACAAGGTATCACCTCACACCTGTCTCAGAAAGGCTAGTATCAAAAAGTCAAGAAATAAGTGTTGGCGAGGATGTGGAGAAAAGGGAACCCTTGTGCACTGCTGGTGGGAATGCAAACTGGTGCAGCCACTCTGGAAAACTATGGAGGTTCTTCAAAAAATTAAAAATAGAGCTACCCTATAACCCAGCAATTCCCTTTGTGGGAATGCCCAAAGAAAATGAAATCAGTATCTTGGAGAGATCTGCAATCCTACGTTCACTGTAGCATTATTCACACTGGCCTGGGTGTAGAAACAACCTACATGCCCATAAATGGATGAATGGATGAAGCAAGAATGGTATATAGATATAACGAGTGCTTTCAGCCTTAAAAAAGGAAAATTCTGCCACTTGCACAACATGGATGAATCTGTAGGACATCACACCAAGGGAAATAAGCCAGAGAAAGATGAATATTATGCGACCTCACTTACATAGATAAAATCACACTCACTGAAGCATCGAGTAGAACAATGGCTGCCGGGGGCTGGGAGAGGAGGAAATGGGGAGGTTTGGGTCAAGGGATACAAAGCTGCAATTATGCAAAATGAGTACTTTCCGGAGTTCTATTCTAGAGCAGTGTGACTATACTTAATAGGTACTGTCTTGTATACTTGAAATCTGCTATAAAAAATAGATCTTAAGTGTTTTCATTACACACACACACACACACACACATACACGTAAGCATGTGAGGAAATGGATATGTTAATTATCTTGTGGTAAAAATTTCACAATGTATACATATATGAAAACATCAAGTTGTGCACTTTACATATTCAAGTATTGTCAATTACACCTCAGTATAGCTGAGGAAAATTTCTTTTTAATTTAATTATAATTTTTTAATGTTTTATTTATTTCTGAGAGAGAGCTAGAGACAGCATGAGCGGAGGGGCGGGGGGTGTCAGAGAGAGAGGGAGACACAGAATCCAAAGACAGGCTCTAGGCTTTGAGCTAGCTGTCAGCACAGAGCCCGACACAGGGCTCGAATCCACGAACCGTGAGATCACGACCTGAGCTGAAGTCGGACGCTTAACAGTCCACTTTAAGAGCCACCCACGTGCCCCTCTTTTTAATTTTATAAAAGCAACTCAGGGTGCCTAGGTGGCTCAGTCAGTTAAGTGTCCGACTTTGGCTCAGGTCATGATCTCACAGTTTGTGAGTTCAAGGCCTGCATTGGGCTCTGTGCTGACAGCTCAGAGACTGGAGCCTGCCTCAGATTCTATGTCTCCATCTCTCTCTCTGCCCCTCCCCTCCTTGTACTCTCTCATTTAAAAAATAATCAAATAATTAAAAAGAACCTCAAACATAAATACAAGGAGGTAAAAATCTCTCTATATTAAACTACCTGATACATGTTGTATACGGCTGCCCGTTTTGTGTGAGCGAGGTTCTATTTAATGAATGAAGGAGTATGTGCATCTCCTAAGCCCTTTGCACCAGGAGGTCCCCGAGCATCAATGCCAGAGAAACTGATGCAGTTTTTACAGAAGGAAGATGGTAAGAGAAGAAAAGCACTGACCAGAAGATGGAGCGACAGAGTAGCTGAGCCAGGACTACAGTTCAGTTCAAGCACTCGCAGCCACCCCCACCCCACCCCCCTCCCTTGTCCCTCCCATCCGCATGTCTGGGTGGAGCCCCTGGGTTCCCACAGACCGTTCACAAAGAGCTTTCTGCTGTTCCTTGGTGAGAAGGCCACCTGCATGCGGAGAACACAGAAGCCTATCTCGGCCCCAGAAGAGACCCCCCACTCGCACTGCTGGGGGAAGGAGGCGAGCGAGTACTCGTTCCTTCCATCAGAACAAAGATATGTGGCCGCACCCCCGGCAAGTCTGCCTGGGCTGGCGAATCAGCCCAGCGGGCCCTCCAACTAGTTCTCGGGATTTTAATTATTTGTTACACTGACTTTTAAAATGAATTTGACACCAGTTTTATTTTTGGTCACTGCAATTTTCCTGGCCTTTTCAGAAGAACTGAGGTTCCCTGTGATGCAGAAAAGTGAGAAGTCCTCTAAACTCCCGGTCTTTGAGTCACAAGCCCACCCTTTCTTTCAAAGTGAGCTCTACTTTTTCCGGACATCTTCGCCTTCTATCACTGTAAATCTTCCACACATTCCCTCCAGACGTATGGGGGGACTCTGAGGATAAATCTGTATCCATTTTGGTTTCTTTGTTCATCTCATATCACAGCTTCTGTGACCAAAGCACATTTAAAACTTACGTATTATATATACTTACGTAGTCTGTTTATAGCAGCGTGTGATGGTCTGATTTTTAAAAGCGGGATGGAAGTGTTCTGTTAATTTACTACAGATTCTGATTTCTAGAGATCAGACTTCTAGCCTTGATCACTGAGCTTCACTCTGTCCTCTGCATCTTCTATCATCTTCCCAGAAAGGGGGCATGAAGGCAGATGGCCACGGCCTCCGAAAACTGCAGATGCACCTCATTACATCTCAGAGCTGGAGGCTACTTAGCTATCCAAACCCCTCCATTTGCATTTCAGGAAACAAAAACTTGCAGCTGACAGGTGGCATCCCTGTAGTCACAGTGGGAGAATGCCCTTCCTAAGCTGCTTCTTTCAGGTCTTTATGACCCAATCCATTGCTTCCTCAACAATGGAGAGCAAGACAAAGATTCCAAAGTTTCCACACCAGAGCTTTCGCTTAGGAAAGGGAAGCTGGGTGAAGAAACACCTATTAAGCATCTTACATATCAGGAAGAGAGCAGATCTACACCCCCCACCCGCCAGGAGTCAGGTATTACCCATTTCACTGTCCCATTTTACAACCAATTAGCCAAGGCAGAATTGGGACGTGGGTCTCTCCAATTTCAAAGCTCCAGCTTTTATCCCAACAACATGCTTTTCCTAATTCTCTCCCTTTTCAAAGTAAACTGTAGTCAGAATCAGCTGTTCTTTCCATGTGAGGGCCATTCCTCCATGTTACGCCATGCCGTTCCTTTTTTGAACCTACATCCCACCTTGTTGGCACGGAAGAGCCGCTATCACTGTCCTCAGGGCACTTACAGTCCAGCAAGCTCTCTCTTTTCCAGCACCTTCTTTTACTTTTCATCACTGCCCAGGAACAAAAGCAGGGGTGGGCAGGTGAGTGTGTAGAGTTGCAATGTTACTCTCAATCCTCCCTCTGAGCTTCCTGACCCATCATCTTGACAAGTCGGTCTATTTACAGAGGACGGAGCACTGAGAAAACACCCAGACTGCCTTGCCTCCCCTCCCTTCCAGGCTGGCAGAGAGGACCTCAAGCAATCCCTTCAAAGGCAAAGCAAGTTACAAAATGGAGGTAATGCAGCAGCATCTTAAAGCCATGGCTTCCTCACACTGTACCACAGAGAGAACTCAGCGCCTAACCCCCAATGCTGGTGATCAACCCCACTGGTTCAACATTCTCAAGATCTTCTGACATAAAATTATACTGATCACAAGAATTCTCTCCCTTGTAATTGTTTTCCTGAGCCAATCTGCCAGATTCCATAAACGGGGTATTCAAATTCTGATCACCCCAGGGGCACCTGGGTGGCTCAGTCGGTTAAGCGTCTGACTTCAGCTCAGGTCATGATCTCATGGTTCATGGGTTTGAGCCCCGTGACGGGCTCTGTGCTGACAGCTAGCTCAGAGCCCAGAGCCTGTTTCAAATTCTGTGTCTCCCTCTCTCTCTGACCCTCCCTTGCTCACACTGTCTCTCTCTCTCTCTCTCAGGAATTAAAAAATAATAATAATAATAATTCTGATCACCCCTCTGTTGCAGATGGAATGTGTCCCCCTCAAAATTCATATGTTGAAATCTAACCCCCAGTGTGACAGCGTTGGAAGGTGGGACTTTGGTAGGCAATTAAGCCATGTGGGTGGAGCCCTCGTGAATGGGATTTGTGTTCCTGTAAAAGAGACCCCAGAGAGTTCTCTGGCTCTTTTCACCATGTAGTACACAGCAAGAATATGGCCGACTACAACCCTGACCTCAGATGTCCAGCCTCCAAAATGGTGAAAACCACATTTCTGTCGTGTATAAGCTACCCAGTCCGTGGTATTTTGTTATAGCAGCTCAAAGACCAAGACACTCTCCAAAGCTGAATGTCTCTGGCACTTTAGATAGTCCGGCAAGTTGTTTGCTCCTCAGTTTTTAGGGATAGACCTTAAGTGATGAAAGGATGAGATGAGAGCTCTCTGACCACACAGGCTACTGGTACTTGGACTGGAAAGAGTGCCAGGCAAGGATGCCCTGAGTGTAAGTCACTCCTCACAGAGTATGACCCGGGGCTGTGTGAAATCCCTCCGTACAGTACAAAACATACCCACTGTCGTAGGTGAACCTCAGGCCCGGTTAAATACTAACATGCTATTTCTGCTTCTGTAAGTCCGCTTGGCAAGCCTGTACTTCCCCGTCCTGGCTGACCACACCCACACCCTGTCCGCAAGGTTACAGAACACCACGTCACCATCCTATCCTGGTGGTCAGTCACCACCCCATGGCTTCTCAAATGTCTCATTACGGTTGGTCATTTTAAGACAAAGAACTTAAAATTGATAGGTCTCTGGCAAAACTCACACCTGAGTGTCACAATGCAATTGGTTACCACAGTATGCTGTCAAACGTAATTGGTTAACTAAGTAATATATTCTGCCTTGCTGAGATCCACACAAGCTCACTGCCACCTTTCTTCGGGGCCATTCTCTGCATTTCTCCAGGAGATCAGGAGATCAGGTTTGGCCCGGCCAGAAATAAAATCTTGCCTTGCTTCTATACAGCGTTTGGTGGTCTTTTCGACAATCACCCCTCTTCACCTACCAAAAATACAGTCCCATAGACTGGTGCCTGGTTCTAGTTGCCAAGAACTTGGAAGGAACCAGCCCATCTTCTTCCATGACCAGAAACCTCTGATAACCCATGATCCCTGAAAGGGAGGAAGAAGGCACAAAAGAGGCGAAGAGAAGAGAAAGACCTTTTCAGACATCACAATTTTGCTCATCTTTAGAAGTACTTGATCTGCCAGTTTTTATGAACTATGCTCACCCACAGCAGTGTGAGGAAGGAAGAGACAGCCAGCCACTCTTTTCTTCCTCCTACAGAAACCGGAGGCAAAACGGAATACAAAGGACTAGCTGTCCTTTTCTTTCATCTGCTTCTAGCTTGGAATGTGTGGAGAAAACCCTTACCAGCACGAGGTGAACAACAGAGCCCTGGGACTAAAGGAAGGGGCCGGAAGTGGAAATGCTGTCTTAGCAAACTGGTACCTCCCAACACCCGGCCTCAAAGGGAGACCTCCATGGGAGGCTCATCATGAGGCCCCAAGCACTATCATGATATCCACGTGATACGACAATTCCCGCCACAGAGCTCATAGGCCTCCTTCCACCAGTGCCACAACAAGTTCTTATTTGTTCATGAATAAAGCGTAACACTCTACACCTCATCACCCTAAATGAGTGCTTGGCGTCATTTCACTCACTCACTCATTCATTCATTCATTCATTCAGAAAACCTGGAGCACATTCTCTGTTTTGGAGCTCAACTCCTCAGTACTCAATGAGCGCTGAACAGAGGTCAAACATGATCCTAGATTTGAGGGAATGAATCACCAAGGAAGACTCGCAGTTTAGACCTTCATGGAGTGTGCAACACACAACTTGCATCATGACAAATATAAAGTATGAAACACAGAGTGTTCTGTGGATGCATATGGTGGGGAGTAATAAAATAATGGGTCGAGGAAGGTCTTCCTGGAGAAGTGACATGTGAATGATGCAAAGAGCGAAGAAAGTTCCAAAGACTCGAAGGTGAGAGAGGATACGGTGGGTGCGGGAAACAGAAGAAAGTCCAGAAAAGTCGAAGGGAAGAGGAAGGAGGCAATAGGCAGGCCTGCTGACAAGTCACAGCCCAGGAGGCTGAACGTGATCCGACAGGAAACAGGAGGTAGGCATCAGGGCACCAACATGGTCAGATTTCAAGCTGGGGATGGTGGGGCTGGGAGAGGCCCTGAGAAGAAGGCAAAGGGTGCTTCCTGGGCGCCTGGTATTGTGCCACCCCTACTTCTCCAGTATAATTATTTTATTTCGCTATTATCTGTGGCTTAAAATGATGTAAGTGAAATTCATGATCCAAAGTCAACCTAATACTAAAAACTTATTCAAAAAGCATTTGCCTACTCTAAAAAAGAAAGATCTCTAAGAACTGACAGCAAGTGCTTTCTAGGAGACAGCAGTAGGTGAAACAAAAAGGCACAAGAGTAGCCAGGTGAGCCTTTAACAACACCCTGGTCAGGGCACCAACCACCTCTTCCGCAGGAGAAAATCCGCATATAACTTTTGATTCCCCCAAAATGCTACAACAGCCTACTGTTGACCAGAAGCCATACCAAGGACATTAATAGTTGATTAACACATACTTTGTATGTATTCTATACTGTATTCTTACAGTAAAGTAAGCTAGAGAAAACAGTGTTACTAAGAAAATCATAATGTAGAGAAAATACAGCATGTACTGTAAAAAATCTGCATACAGCTGGGCCTGTGCAGTTCAAACCACTGTTCTTCAAGGGTCAGCTGTATATCGTAGGCAGCAATTTTTTTTTAGTAAAGGGAAAAGCTTTACACATTTGCTTACCATTTCAGGAAGGGGCACAGGATGGATAAGGCAGAAAACACGGGATGTAGTTAGCTGCAAGATGAAGAGGGAGACAGAAGAGATTTGGGAGAGAGTGGCATTCTCTGAGAACGCTTCTTGTATAGTTTTGACTTTGAAAAATATGCTGATATTCTACATATTCAAAAGCAAACATCAGAGTAGAGAAAAATAGGAAGGGGGATAAAGGTCCATAACTGAAAGCAAACTAAAACAAATCAATCCAGCTGCACTGCAAATGAGCAACATAACCTTAGTAAGGAGAAGAACAGAGGGGGGAAGGAAGAAAACGAATCCAAGTAACTCGTGAGGGCAGTATTTAAATAAGTATCCTGAGTCCAGGAAGAGTGGATGGAAGAATTACAAACAAGTCCTGAATTCCTTTTCAAAATTTTGTTGTAACTACGGTAGTATCAGCAAAGCAAATCTGACAGTGCTTTAGATGTAATACAGGTTTGAACAAATTGAACGCATTGATGCCAGAGCCAAGGTCCACACTGGGGAAGAAGGGACACGCAGAGACGAAAGCAGGAAAGAGGAGAAAGAACCTGGGTGGTAAACTGGAATTGCAGGCATCAGTATGGGCTCATGACTTCTAACACATGGACATGTTTGGGCTTAAGCACATTTCTGTGCTGATATATATACATACATGCATATGTGTGTGTGCATATGTCTGTATAAATGCACATATACACGAGTATGTCTCGTATGTGCATATATTCCCAGCTCTTTCTGCTGAAAAGGCCGCGGATTAAAGACACTGTTGGCAATGAGCACCTCCAATACTATTCCTCATTAGTAGAACCAGAATCCCTTATAGAAATGGCTAATTGGACGCTGGTGTGATGTGAGCCAGGACATCTTGTCATACCCCAAAGTAATGAAATACTCAAAAAATGGCAGCAGCATGTTGTAAGGCACCAAATGGAAAAGGCTCTCACTGATCACATCAGGGAGAGTTTGAGCATCAAAATAATTCAGTATAGTAATGAATTATAAATCATTGAACACAAGGAACCTGTGACTCCGCACCAATGATAAATAGGTAAATAAGTGAGAAAGAATGGAGTCTGCCTCCAGTAGAAAGCTGGGGGCTGAATGGCAAATATAGAGACATTGGTAGAACTGGGAAGCCATTTGGAGCAGGCAAGAATCATCTATGGATGCTAAATCTAGAGGGAAATTGTAATGAGGAGCAGAATAGCTGTGCTGTCTTAATGTGTCTTTCCCCAAAGACACTTCCTTAGTAAGGAAAGGAAAAACAAACAAACAAAAAAAAAAAAACAGTGATTCAGTGGGTATAGAAACTAGGCAATACATTGACCAGGTAACCAAGGGTAACATCACCAAGCAGGATGGGAGGGTACCATGATCCTCCAAACCATCTGCCCTAAGAAGGACGCACCAGCTATGTGGTCTCCCAGCCATGAATGCCTAACCTCAATATAACCATGAGGAGGGCACCTGAGGGGCTCAGTCGGGTAAGTGTCTGACTTCGGCTCAGGTCATGATCTTGCGGTTTGTGGAGCCTGCTTCAGATTCTGTGTCTCTCTCTGTCCCTGACCCTCCCCTGCTCATGCTCTGTCTCTCTCTCAGAAATTTAAAAAAAAAAATATATATATATGTGTGTGTGTGTATATTTATATATATATATATAACAATAAGGAAAAAACATCAGATGAGCACAAGATGTGAAATGTTTTATTTAAAAAAAAAAGTTGAGAAAAAGAGGAGAATATTGTTTAAAAAATATCAATGTCATAAAGGCAAAGCAACACTGGAAATGTTCATATTAAAGGAGGCTGA